ATTGACATTTGTATTTTCGATTACAGCCCTGTGAATGTAACCATCTTATGCATCCTGTTTTCCTGGTAGTGAGAATCTCTGTAAGAGTCTGCCCCAACAGCATTGACAATGATATTCCAATATTGTCTCTCTTCTTTCATTTCCTTTATTGTTTCCATGCACGATATCTCGTATTACATCTTCAAAGTATTCTCTGCAGTAAGTTGCATTTCGTGAAACCTATTTTGGTATTTGAAAGCATAAAATATCAATTTATGGACAAGCAAGACGTGATTCGTTTTCAATTCATCCAAATTATGTGTCTTGTGCACGTTCTGTATATAGTGGTGTTAGCTAGTTTATCCAGAGACATCAATTGATAGACTAGTGACACGCGTTTTTCCTGGATACTATATTAAATTTATGGTTGCATAACCTTTATTTTACTTTATGTTATCTATGTAGTTACTTTATCTTTATTATTCAACAAATATTTTTTATTTGATATTTTGATCATTTCAAAAAATGTATTATAACGACGATCAATGTATTAAATGATTTACAACGCATTATTAAATATGTACAATAGAGGTTGGTGCAAATCTTCGCGATCCTGTTAACTATGTTTTTTTCTTTGTTTAACATCTGAATCTACAGTCTAGATCGTAATGCGTTGTCGAAACAATTTCTCTACAGAAAATACGTGAAAATACAATCTACAAACAAGTTTGAAGTATAAATGATCTTGAACATTGATCTTCCTTAAATGGCTCTGTGTGACATAATGATAGTAATTACTGTTTCTTTTTGAAATACTTGAGCCGAGAGAAACTGAAAGGAAGGAGTTGATGATGATTTAATACTAGGGAGAGGAAATTTTATTCGAGGTTATATAGATGTCTGCTATACCATGTGTAGGTAACATGTGAAACAGAAGATTCAGTATCGACATCAGATCTACTTGTACGTGATAATATTTATTTGTCTTCACTCTGTACATTTTACACTTACAATGTTCGTTTTATTTCATTTCGTTTAATTGCTTTTACAATTTCATTTTACATATCCAAGTCTCTTAAATTAATCTTTAGTCCTGTCATCGTTTATCCATTTATTTATTACCATCATTGTTTGAGCGCAGCTTTCTCAATGATCTTTATCAACTTATCAATACATTTAGCGCATTCTTCCACGTTCTTATGATCAATGTCGTATACCTGACGGTTAGGGGAAAGAAAAACAAGAATGTACGATTGTTATTATTCGGGCGAATGTATAAAGCTAGAAGACAGAAGTTCGTACCCGTTTAGCAAACTGTGATTTTAGTCTCTTGTCTTGGAATATCATTTTTTCTCCTATTCTCAGATTCTTGAACGTTTTCACCCGCAAAGGGCCGAACTTTCGTCGAAACCCTTTCACATTTCCATTGCAAATGTTCTCGAGATTCTGAATTTTCGCGTGTATCCTACGTTGCCTTTCTCCCAACGAATCCACCTTCCTCGTAAACTTCAAAATGTCCTTGTAACCATGGTAATAATCGCTTCTCATTTTCATCGTCAATTCTTCCTTTATCTAAATTCATTAAGAAATTATCTCTCCTTGTATTTACTATTTATATTATTACATCACATCACGATTAAGATTTTAATTTTTAATGAAACGTTAATAAAATAGAACAACATTGTCAACATTAGAATAATATATAAAAAAGGAATTATTATATAATTACTTGTTTAGTACATACTTAGTACATACTTGTTTAGTACATACTTACATGTATATATTATATATATACATTATATATATACATTATATACATTATTATATATACATTATATATATTATATATATTATATATACATATATACATTATACATTATATATACATATATACATTATACATTATAATATATAATTTATACATATATACATTATATATATACATTATATATACATTATATATACATATATAATATATACATATATACATTATATATACATATATAATATATACATATATACATTATACATAATAATATATAATTTATACATATATACATTATATATATATATATATAT